GCCTCGGCGTGGTTGCCCAGCTCCGCGTGCTTCCCTGCCATGTTCTGCAGCCACGTCAGCCGCAGGTCGGGGGAGCCCTGGTAGCCCCGGGCAATCCTGGCATCCAGGTGAGGGGGACATGACAATGGGGACACACCTGGCCCTCCCTACCTGCCTCTCGCTTGTCCATCCCCTGCCTGTTACCCCACCTCTGCCCCACTGACCAGTCCCTCCTCTCACCTGGACCCCACGCACCTGTCTCCTCACCTGTGCGCCCCCTCACCCACTCCCCTGCGTGTCCAACCCTTTCCCTGTCTGCCCACTCACCTGTCCGTCATCCCCTCTTCCTCTATTCAATGACTGTTGCCTGTCTGTCCCTTCGTTACCCACTCCCCCAGTCATTCTGTCACTTGTTCCTCTGCTCATGAGTTTACTCTCTCTGCAGAACCTTCAATCACCTGGACGCATCGTTCCCCTTCCTCGTGCACCGTCCCACCTGTCTCCCCACCTCTCCCTCCCCTATACCCCTCCCTCCCTCTTTGTCACCTGTGACCCATCTCTCCTCCAAATTGCTGTTTCCCTGATCTGTCCCCCTCACCCATTAGCACCTCACTTGTGCCCCTACCTGGTCCTTGTTGTCATCTGTCATCCTCATCTATATGTTCACATGGCACCCTGTGTCTGCTCCTTCACCTGTCCTCACCTTACTTGTGCCCTCTCATGTCTGCCCACCTGTTCCCCTCACCTGTCTGTTCACCTGTCCCCCTCACCTGTCTGTTCACCTGTCCCCCTCACCTGTCTGCCCACTTGTCCCCTTCACCTATCTGCTTACCTGGCAGCTTCATGTATCTGCTCACCTGTCCCTCCCCCGCTCCTCATACACCCAACTCCTCTGTCCCTCTCGCCCCCTACTCTCCACTCACCTGTCACTGAGCAGGCGTGGCTGAGGGTCCCACCCGGCCCTGCTCACCTGTACATGAGGTCGATGAGCATCTCGGGGTCCTCCTGGTGCTCCTTCATCTTTACCGTGTCAGTCAGGATCATGTGCAGGTTGAACATAAGGTCTTGGACCTGGAGCCGGGGGATGTCCAGGGGCCAATGAGGGCGTCAGGACGTGAAGGACTGAGGTGGGGGGTCAGGGGTCAAGAAGGGGATGACAAAGACCCAGGTTGCCGAGGGTGGGGAGGGAGCCCTCAGGGTCACCTGCTCGGCGAAGGTGCTGTCCCTCAGCCCCACGTCCTCCTCGGCATAGGTGAGGATGGTCTTAAGGGACCGTCGCAGGTGCTCTTCACTAAAGTTCTGCGTCGTCCCCACCAGGGACGAAAGTGACATGGTCACTTGCATCTTCACGCGGGCAAAGTTCTGTGGGGCCAGAAGAGGGACAGTGGATCAGAAGCCTCAGACCCCAGACCCTCATACCAGGGTCTGCTCCACCTGCCACCTCTTTGGCCATTGCCTCTGACCCCTCTTCCTGCCTGTGACATTCAGGGACCACTCCTCCCTCCTTCCCTCCCTCCACTGCACCATGACCCCCAGCCGGCCACCCTGACCGAGCCACACTTACGTGGCCAATCTCGAAGTTCTGGCGCATGAGGAGGTAGAGCGAGGCGCTGGCGTGCACGCGGATGGTGCTGATGCGGCTGCCGCAGTGTCGCAGGAGCCTCAGGCAGAGGTCGGCACACAGCTCCGTGTCCTCCTCAAACAGCAGCTCCGGGAACTGCTCCCCAGGCCAAGACAGACCCCGTTCAGCCCCTCCCCATTCTGGCTCAGAAGGTCCTAGATGGGGCCTTGGCCAGAGACCTCTGTGCTGCCTTCTTTGGTCAATGACAGCAGACTCTGGAGTCACCCCTGGGTCTAAGCCTGTGCTCTGTGTCCCTGGGCCAGTGACTTGGCCACTCTGATCCCCAGTTCCCTCTTCTGTAAATTGCAGAGTCTCTGCTTCACGGAGTTGCTGAGCACACAGCTGGTGCTCAGTGAGTGGACTGCTATCACTACTCTACAGACCATGCTTGTCAAGGAGTGCTCACCTTGGACACCAGGGCCCGCTGGGTGGCCAGGCCATGCTGTAAGAAAAGGGCACTCTGGGCACTGCCCAGACTGTACAGCACCACCTTCAGCACCGCGCCCAGGACGCTCTCCCGGGCCTCTGACAGCATCACCGTCTGTGGGGAGGAGGCCAGAAATCCAAGTGTCAGAGGCTTGGGTGGCTACGGGGGCCGGGAAGGAGAGGGATTTTAGGGTCAGGGATCACCAGGGCACTGTGGTGGGCTCAGAGGTCAGAGCAGATACTGGATCAAGCCCTACCTGCACGATGATCTCCAGAGTGTCCAGAACCACCAGGCTCGCCTCGGTTGCCAGGTTTCCATCCACCAAGGCTTCATGTTCCATTTCGTCCTTGGTCCTGGAGGGAAGGGGTGGTCTCGGAGACCATTTGGGCCAAGATCCCACACCATGGCTGAGTTCTCTCCCTCCCTTAGTGGCCCATGGGGCGCGGCTCTCAGGCACCCGGTCTGCACCCAGCCCACTCCTTCCTGCCCACACCCACTTGTCCATGCGGTCTGAGGTGGGTTTCCAGTGTGTGATGCTCTTCCGCCAGCGTACGTTCTCTGGGTTCCCAAATGGGCTCCTCTCTGAGATGTGCAGACGCATGTTCACGGATGTGTAAAAAACACAAGGACACGTGGTGAAGCAGAAGCTTGCAGAGTGGACACACAGTTAGACCCGAATGACAGGTAAGGACAGCCAGGGAACACAGATGCCCATGTACAGCGATGACACATTGGGTCCCTTGGACACAGGACAGGGGTGTCTTGCCCTCTCACCACGACTCCGTCGCACCATGTCTTGGCGAGCACCGATGGTGCCCAAGATGGCTTCCTCTAACCGTGCCTTCATATCCAGTGACTTCTTGAATGTGAGGCTGTTGATGCGCTCAAAGGCCTTTTTCCCCTGGGAGGGCAGAGAACTGGGGTTCAAGGTGGACTCTGCTCTTTGTTGTGGGACCTGGGCTAGCCCGGTCTCTCTTTTTTCAGGCCCTTTCTCACCCCCAGGACTCTGTGCTGGAAGACACAGCTCACCCTTTTCCTCCAAACTCTTAGCATCTTACAAATTCTATTCATGCGGGTATTTCTCACTTTACTCCTGGGCTTAGCACAAAGACAGTCCACCCCTTTATCCCCAGCCCCAGAGCATCCTGTGCACAGACAGTCCAGCCCTTTACACCCACCCATAGCACTCCAGGGCCTGCCTCCTCCACCACAGCCCCCTGCCCACCCTTTCGAACCTTATATTCAAAAGCAGCCAGGCAGAGGCACAGCAAGTCCAAGAGCCGTCCCAGCTGTGGGAGGGATAGGTCGGTAGCCCAGCGCTGCAGAAGGGCTGGCTCTGCATTTTTCAGTACCCACAGCACACAGGCCAGCAAGGTCCGACTTGACTCAGCAGAGAGCAGACAACCTGAGCGAGCAGCCTGGGCCACAGAGGGGATAGGGTCAATTTTCATGTCCTCCACCCAAGATGAATACTGGCAAATTTGTGTCTCATGACACAATTTTTTGCCCCAAGTTGGATGGTGTCTATGGGGACAAGCCTCATACTCACTGTTGGTGGCCCCTGGGAGATGCTGGCCCGGGAACCAGGGGCCAGGGGGCCACCAGCGATGGCCATGGCCACTGAGGGGTTGATGGTACCTCCAATGTCCCCCTCGCTTTCTGTGTCTGAGTCGAGCAGTGAGGCCAGTCTTGACCTCTGACCTGGGCCCTCTGCAGGGAGGGGCAGGGGGAAAGGAGAAGGGAGCCTTGGTAAGTGCCGTCCCTCTGTCTCAAATTTCAGAAGTCATTCCTGACACCACCCCCAGACCAGGTTGGGGTCTCTGGTTATCTATTCTCAGAACTTACTTATTTTATATTAGATACATTAATTGTACAACTGCTTATAAGCTCCACAAAGGCCTGGGCTATATCTGCTCTGGCCACTGTTGTATGCTCAGCACAGTTCACGACCTGGTCCACAAGAGTTGTAATAGTATAGATGGTGACAATGACAACGACAACAATAATAATACTGCTGCTACTATTATAGCATCAATTAGCACTTGTGTAGCATCTCCTATGTGCCAGGTGCTGTTCTAAATACTTTAAAAATATTAACTCCATGGCCAGCTGTCAAAAATTAGAAAATTAAATTAAAAAAAATTAATTCCAGGGCCGGCCCGGTGGCGCACTGGAGAGTGTGCAGCTTGGGAGCGCAGCGGCCCACCCGCCGAGGGTTCGGATCCCATGTGGAGACCGGTTCCCGCTCACTGGCTGAGTGCGGTGCGGGCGCAACACCGAGGGTTGCGATCCCGTTGCTGGTCCCCGGTACGGGCGCGACACCGAGGGTTGCGATCCCGTTATTGGTCAGTAAAAAAGACAAAAAGGAAAAAAAAAATTAATTCCAAATCATCAAAACAACCCTATGAGGTAAGTACTCTGCTTATTCTCACTTTATGGATGAGGAAACTGAGGTACAGAGAGGTTAAGTTACTTGCCTAGGTTCACACAGCTGGTAGATGGTAGAGCTAGGATTTTAACCTTGGCAGTCTGGTTCCACATCTATGATCTCAAAAAAATAATCCCCATGCCACCCCTCCTCCAAGTCTCACCAGAGGGAGGAGATGCCAACAGATATATAACAGATCTTACTCTAAAGACTCTTAAAACAAAAGGTAAACTGAGTCTAACTAAAGCTCCAGCCCAGCCCAGACTAGCCTAGCTCAATTCCTGACTGTACTGAGGTGATCAGCCCTTTATCCAATCTGTCTGAGAAAGGGAAAGGGGAACTCACTAGGCAGAGATGACACTGCTTTAACAGTGTGATTCTTTTATATACAATGTCCAAAATACAATAAAAAATTACAAGATTTGATGAGGCAGGAAAATGTGATGGATAAGAAAGAAAAAGAGAAAAATGGACACAGACACATAGATGACCAAATGCTGAAGTCAGAAAACAAGGATTTTAAAATGAAAATGAGAGGAAAAGATGGGTAAAAATGGGCCAAAAGATGGAGAATTTCAAAAGAGAATTGGGATATAAAAAGAAAAAAAAATCAAATGAACAATTTACAACTGCAAAATATATGAAATTAAGAACACAGTGGATTTGATCAACAGAAGACTGGATACGGCGGATGACAGAGTTAGTGAACTCAAAGACAGGTGGACAAAAAATTTCCCAACTGAAGCTCAGAGAACAAAAAGAATGGAAACAATAGGACAGAGCATAACAAATGTGTGATGTGATCAAAAGGTCTAACATACGTGTAATTGGAGTCCCAGTAGAGAAGAAAGAAAACGAAGCAGAAAAAAATTCAAGAGATAACAGCTGAGAATTTCCCAAAAGCAATGAAAGGAATCAACCCACAAATCCCAAGTCTATGCTTCTAACCACTGTCCTATACTGTCCCTCAACAGTGCTGATGTTTGTCAAATGAATGAGTGAATGAACGAATGGAGGGCTCCAACCATCTTCTCACCCAGATGTCCCCCACGTTCCCCTCCTCACATTTTCTTCTTAGAAGATAATGAATGTTATAATAACATCTCCCATTTATTATGGGCTGACAATGTGTCAGTACGACAGCTCCCCAAATTTTCACACAACCCTATGAAGGAGTTGGTGTTGCTACTGTCCCCATTTTACAGGCAAGAAGCCTGAGGCTCGGAGAGGTTATGGCTTGACTCTGGCCCCATGGCAGGACTTGAACCTTCTCTGCTCATCCCAATGCCCATGCTCTGACCCCTGCGACTTCCCACCTTTTCCATCCTGTGCCTGTGTGATCAAGCCCCTGGATCATGTGACCTCCCATCCTCCCCTGGCCCGCTGACCAGCAAAGTCATGCAGCCGTGGCAGTGTGTCCCGTGCAAGTGACAGCAGCGGCAGGTACAGCTCGGCCACACGGGCCTTCACGGTGGGCTCAGCATAGCGGGGGTCAGTGTCGTGGCCACAGAGCAGGCTGTGCACTGCACTGATGGCCTTCTTGTGCAGCAGGGATGCCCTGTGGGGTAGTGGGGGTGCTCAGGATGGAGTAGATGTGGCTTTTGGACTGTCCCACCTACCCGGGGGCCAGATAGGACCCGTGCTTACCCTTCAGTTTCAGGTTCAAGGGCCAGTGCCAGCTCCGACAGCAGGAGCCCAGCCAGGAAGTGCTGCTGCCGGAATGGCCCACTCAGCTCAAACATGCTGGTCACCTTGGGGTCTGGGGCCTGGCTGGAGAAGGTGGAGCTCTGCAGAGGGTAGGGGGAGAAATCAGGGTTGGCAGGATGCCAGTGGTCAAGGGTCAGAGGTGAGAGGTCACCATTAAAGCCATCTGGGAGGCAACTTAAGTCATGGTGTCTAGAGCAAGAGATGAGAGGTTGACGTTAACTCATCTGCAGGTGACAGTAGGTATGGGGTTAAAGGCAACAGATGAGGGGCTGGAGTTAACTCATCTGTGAGGTGACATGGTATGGGGGTCAAAAGTCAGAGGACTGAGAAACAGCAGATGGAATGGGTGTGGGAGTTAGGATACAGGGGCAAAAGACCAGAAGCTGGTACTCCTGGGAAAATGCTGAGAACAGTGGGTCAGAGGTGAAATGTCAGATGTAAGGAGTCAGTTCACCTGGGCAGTGGCCCACCATGAAGGGAACAGAGATGGGGAACTATAGAAGGTGGGGTGCAGGTGAGAGGTCAGAGGCAAGGAGAGGAGGAGAAGGGCGGCCAGCGCACCTGGGAGGTGGTGGAGGATACGGAGGGGGAGGGCGAGGCCGGGGGTGACAGGGGGCAGCAGGGGAGGTTGAGGGTCACGTAGTGTTCATGGCTGCACAGGATCCGGGTGAACTCCATGCGCAGGGTCAGGAGTGTTGCCGGGTTGGGGGCTGACTGGAGCCGTGTGGCCACCTGTGAGAGAGGGACATGGAGATGCCAACAGTGTTCTGCCCACAGTGGCCACGGCCCCACCACGTCATCCACCACATCTGCTGTGCCCACCACTACCTGCTTATAGTGGGCCCGGACCAGGCTGAAGACAAATCCCCGATCAGCCAGGGACAAGAGGTCACTGAGGAAGAAGGCCAGGCTGGCGTTGAGGCGTTCGGCCAACTCCATGTCCTGAGGGGCACAGGGACCTGTTAGCCCACACCGCATGGGCAAGCCTCAGTCCCTAGTCCCCCACCCCCAGCACAGGGCCTGGCTCTTGCCAAGGCCACCACGACCTCCAGGAGAGCTACCTAACTGCACCAAAGCCCTGGGTCTCTGAGCTCCGGTGACCCTGGGCCTTCCAGGCTGTTTTCCTCCCTCTGACTACCCGTCCCTTCCCCATGCTCCGTTCAGGCAGCTCTTCCATCTTTTTGCCCAGATTTGCCTAACACACCCACAGCAGACACTAGCTGACGAGTCCCCCCACAATCCTCTCTCCCTCTCTGTCCAGACTTCAGAGCTAGGTAGAGACTACATTTCCCAGCCTCCCTTGCAGTTGAGTGGAATCATGTGACCACATTCTGGTCAATGGGATTTGAGGGGAAGCAGGCAGCCAATTAAATGACAGCGGTGGGTCCTCTCCTTCCCACTACCTACAAGGCTGCCCAGCCCACACTGTAGAGGCCTCTGCAGCCTGCTCATGCTCAGAACTGAACTTTGGTGGCGTTTAAACCACTTGTGATTGTGCAAAGGCAAATTAACCTCTGCCCTAAGTGATACACCTTTAGCAATCATTTAACAAGCATTAACTGAGCATCTACTATGTGCCAAGCCCTGTAAATGAGATAGACACGGTCCCTGCTGCTCATCCAACTCACAGTCTCATGTGGGGGGAGACAGTCAATACACAAGAATTCCAGATAGTTCTATGTGCTTCAAAGACAATAGAATGGGGTGATGTTTCGAGAGAAGCCTGAAAGATGAGATGGTACCAAGGGGAGAAAGACATTCCAAGTAGAAGGGGCAGTCCATGCAAAGACCCTGAGGCAGGATATGCCTGGTAAGTGGAAGGGACAGTGAGGAGGCTGGTGTGGCAGAGTCCCTGCCAGCATTTGGTCTTCCCTCATGCTCTCGTGAGCTACTCTGTGGCCCCACAAATTAGCCTCAGCGGCTCTCAGTTCCCTGCAACCCAAAGAGACAAAATATAAAACCCGCCTGAGCTCTGAGCCCACAGCAGGCAGGGACTGGGTCTGTCCTGTGCATGAAGCCTCATACAGTCAGTGCTTGATAGATATCAAGTGAATGAATGACCCCGCACTGGCCCATCACTGTTGTCCCACGAGTGGCTTCAGCGATGCTGTTCTCAGGGGCGTTCTTCCCGGGAGCCCTTTCTGGGGTGGCTTCCCCACGATCTGGGTCAGCCCTTGGGAAGGCTCCAACGTCAAGACCTTTGAGATGAGCCTAGAGGTCATGTGGGATTGTGAAAGTACCAGTTTGGGCCAGAATGGCCTTTCAAAAATCTGGAAAGTTCCCATTAAATCCAGAAGTCCCATTTCTCATTGAAAATCAGACAATCTGGCCACAACAGAGCCACATTCCTACAGGGTTTTGGTCAACTGGGACTGAGCAATGGTCGCTCCGGTTAGACGGGGCACACGCCTTCTCATCCACCATGATCCCTACTCTCCTAACTGAAACTGGTATTGAGGGCATGGGCTCTGTGTGGAGTGGGTGGCACGGATTCAAATCCTCTTTCCACCACTTCATAGTTGTGTGGTTAAGGTTAAGCTTCTCAGTCATTCTCTGCCTCAGTTTCTCCATCCAGAAAATGGAGATAGCAATACTAACTTCACAGGTGATTGGGAAAATTTAATATGATCCA